AATTTGCTCTTTTCCCATGAGATTAGAAAACAAGTAGTTGACGTTTCCTTTACTCTATGTTTAAAACTTTCATATCCTTTATACACATTTCTACTCATCTAGATTTAACCATTATTCTCTTTTAATCTTGGTCCCTTTCCCACACTGGGAAGGACTATACTTAAACTTAGTGCTTAAACTCAGTATGTGGCAGCTAAACGTCCTTAGCACTATTGGTACCTTCTACTAAAAGTCCCTAGATTCGCAGGGACATTTTGCACCTTTCTGAAACTTAGACCTTGCAAATACCTTAGAAATCAGGTGGTCACTCTTGGACCTCAGTTCATGACCTTCAAAACCAGAGCCATTTCTATCAGAACCAGTTACACAGAGAACCTGACTGCTGCAGTGCCCACACAGCAGCAGCATACAGCCCATAAACTGAAGAGAAGCCTTATCCAGTTCCAAGATGGTGGCACCCATTCATGTGGGGTTGTCCAGGATGGTGACACCCATGCATGCTCCGTCCTCCAAGGTGGGGCACTCACGTAGCTCATCCATTTTACCAAAAATGGCAGCACCCCTACTCTGGTTCCACCCACCTGTGAAGGTCCCAGGACTCCAGTTTCAGGAGCCCTGGAAGCCCCCAAGGCCCCTTCCACCTACGGGCATGGGGGCACCATAGAACTGCCCTCCACGCATTGGGGGTGGTGCACTGAGGCTGCAGTCACCAACACAGGTGGAGAGCAGGCTCCACCCACCTGTGAAGGTGGGGGCCCTGCAGCTCTGCTTTTTGGAGTCAAGGAGGCTCCTCCCAATCCCTGGTGCGGTGGGTGAGCAGAGCCCACTCCCAGAGCCTGGGAATCCATGGTGGAGACTTCTCCCACCTGCAGGGCAGGAGAAGCCATAGTGGGCCTCACCCCCCCCAGAAGGCAGCGTCACCACTGGATTCCCGCTCTCTGGGGTCCCCCATTCCCTGGGTTCACAGCATTAATGAGGTTTCTTTCCTCATCATCTTTCTCCTCCTGTGATCTACTATCAGGGAGGGATTCTAAGACCCCTTTCTGCTTCTGGACCATTACACACTTCTCTGTAGAACTACTCACAGTTTCAACAAAGCAAACAAAGGTTCAGAGCAAAAAGAATGCAGGTGGCGTAAAGACTGGGTATTTCTCCTGCTATCGCCCACAATTCCAGCCCCATTATTGCAAAAGAGCAGTCAGAAACCAAGTTTTTCAACCCAAAACACTTTCACGTCTCTGCTCCCTCCCCGCTTCATTTCCTTTTCACCTTTCCGGGCGTGATTAGGCGCCGATGCCCTCAAGAGTGCAGAGAAATCCTCAGAGACTGGGAAAATTCTGAAGCCTCACTCTCTTGAGCCTGAGGGGGTCGGTCTCCACGGACAATTATCGTCCTGGCAAAGTCACCAAAAACTGTTACCGAACAAGAGAAGAGGAAGAATCCAGGGATGTCAAACTCATTGTCACCGAGGGCCATATCAGCCTCGTGGTTGCCTTCAAAGGGCCGAATGTAATTTCTGGACTCGATAAATGTAACTACTCCTTAACAGTTACGTGAGAGCTCTGCGCTGCCGCCGGGTAGAAACAAGGTGGAGGGCTGGGTTTGGCCTGCGGGCCTTGCACTTGCCACCTGTGGTATAGAGGGAATCAGGAGCACCTGGCTGGAAAACCCCAGTGGGAATGGAGGGCAGGGGACGAAGAGGTCACGTGGAGGCCTTCATTGGCTCGAAAGCCTCTGGGACTATACGTGGGACATGGATCACGCGTGCAACGTCGCAGGTTTACCTACACGCACTAGAGCTGCACTGGTGAGAGACAGACACACGGCCCCACTCGGGGCTCCAGTCTGTCTGGGGGGCGGGGGCGGGGCCCGGGCAGCAGAGTAAGAATGAAGGAGGCCGAGCTGTAGTCAGGGGCCACGAGGGTCTTCCCTGAGCGCACGGGCACCTACTTTTGACAGTGTGTCCAGGGAAGCCTCTCTGAGAGACAAGGACAAAAGGAGCCTTGGTAAGAGCTGCGTACCTGCCCCCCAAGCACCAGACTACCAAGGCCTCCAGGCAGGCGGGGGCTGGTTGTACTGGAGGAACAGCGGGCAGCCACGTGGCTGGAGCAGCAGGTGTAGAATAGGCAGGGACCAGGTCATACAGTCACCCCTACCCATCCACGCCCACTCCCCTAGGTCACAGCAGGGAGTTTGGGTTGTTTTTCTAAGTGCCATGAGAAGCCATTGGAGGTAGAGAATGGATTATGCGGGGGGGGGGAGGCGTGGCCCAGTTCCAGTGATGGGCAAGTCCAGATGATGGACCAGTCTGGAGGCACAAGTGGGCAGAACTGCTTTATGGCGAAGGTAAGCCCCACAGAAAGGGCTCACAGGTCAGATGCAGATGACTCCCAGGCCCAGAGCGGCCAAGGGATGGTGGAGCTCTGCTTTTCCTGAATCTCATGTGGATTGCCTATGAGCCATCCAGGCCGGCATGGGGGGCTGGGATAAGTAAGCACGTGGAAGTCAGGAGCTCAGTGACCATCAGCTGTGGCTGGTTGACAGCCGTGGATTCAGGGAGAGATTGGCTAGGCCAACACTGAGGGCTGAGGGCTGGGTCAGAGGAGGCCAGAGGGAAAGTAAATGCTGCGAGAGAAAGGAGGTACTAATGGTGCTGGGTGCTGCTGGGGTGGGGGAGGGGCTGGCAAGAAAGCCGCTGCAGAGAGACCCGGACAGAGGAGTTTCAGTGGGGTGGTGAGGACAAAAGATGGGTGTGAGCAGGGCAAAGGGAAGCAGGGAGAGGGCGTGGAGACAGCAGAGATAACTGGAGAATTTGCTCTGAAGCACAGCTGAGGGATTGGGTGGTATCTGGAACAAGGAGTTCAGGGAAGTGTTTTGTTTTTTGTTTTTCAGTGAGATACTATAGAATTACTTCTCTGTCCGCTCTGAAATCTACAGGCACGAGGGGAAAAACCTGCTGGAAAGCCATTGGATGGCTTACGAAACCCAGTGCTCACTGTTGTGTCCCCAGACTAGTGAAGTCTGAGGCTGTAAGCAGGGGAGTGAGGAATGTGCGTGCTTATGTCTGGGTCCTGAAAGTGCCTGACTGTGTAAGGACCCAGTGGGACACAGGTGGGGAGACCTCAGCCTCTGATCCACAGAGGACAGGTGAGGGTGGAAGGGCTAAAGGAAGCAGCTTCCCACACTGCAGCAGGGTCAGAACACCCGAGGCTGAGTGCAGTGGTTACTGAGGGGTCAGGTCCCAGGTTAATGGACCAGTGTGGGAGGCCTCGGCCGTGGGGCTCCTATTTCGTCAGGTGACAGAGGAGGTAAGGCTGCAGTAAGAACAAGAGGCTGCCCCTCCATTCCAGATTCGCTTCCTGGGACAGTTGGGTTGGAAGGTCCAGGTATTGGACCTCTAGGGAGCTGCTGGTGATACAAGGAGGCTGATGCAGAACCATGGTATTGCCATGGAAGGGGCTGGGGACAAAACAGGTGGCTTTTCATCGGTCTAGCCCGAGTCCCCAATCCAGCCTTGTTGCCTGCGCAGGCAGCCTGTTCATTCTTCAGCTCCCCTCAGCCCCCCACCCCTCTCCCCTGTGACTCCAGGAGTCTATGCCATAGGCTGGGGATTTAGCTAGAGGATGGAGTAGAAGGGGTAACCAGGACAAACCGGTCTCACTCTAAGAAAAGAAGCAGCCAGTCTCCCATTCAGGCGACCTAGGCAGACAGACAGCTATCTTCCTCACTGGCTAATGAAGTAGCAGGGAGCAGGGTGCTCAAGGGCCACCCCTACCCCCAAGCCATTCATCTGCCAAGAAGGACACCCCATGGCTTCGCTTCTAATGCGGTCATAACTTCCTGGGAAGGAAAACAATATCACTCACATGTCTGTGCATGGAGCTCCCCCAACGTCCCAGGAACTCTTGGGGGCTGCGGGACGGCCACTCTGCACAGGTGGGCTCCCCCTCTGCTTGCCGGGCCAGCCATGTCCCATGATGGGTAAACAGAGCCTCAGGACTCTGACCCGGTCGGTGAACATAGGGGATCGTTGTTGGTCCTAGAGCTGGCGGCCAGTGTGGAGGGGATGAGAGATTAACACTTGACACTGAGGGAAATCCTAAATCAATCCAGGCCCCGACAGTTGTGGAATCATTTGCTGAGAAGCCACACAAGGCCAGGTCAAGGGTTTCATTGCCCGGGCCTGATTAGCCAGACCTCAGAGCAGCACGTGCCCACCTGCCGGCATGCACCCCGCCCTCCTACACAGACGCGCGCGCACGCGCGTACACATACGGACTCACTCTACTAGTAGAACAGGAGCCAGGGAAGGCGCGTCCCGGGCCGGGATCCCGCCTGTTAGGAAAGGAAAACCAGGCAGTGGGCCATCTTGGGAAGGAAAGAAGCCGCGAGCCAAGACCTTGACCCAAGAGAAAGCCAAGGGCACAACGAGGCCAGGGGAGAAACCATGAGGTACGCTGCGCTGCGAGCAAACCCGATGCCGCAGAGTCAGGCACGGCTGGCTCCACGGGCCAGGGCGTAGCCCCGGGAAGGCGCCCGGACCGTCTAGTTAGTCCAGGCGCGCTTCCTGGAGGAGTAGGAAGGTTTACCGCCAGAGCTGCAGGGATAAGTGGAGGGGGCGTAGCAGGCGGGGCCGGGCCGAAAGGAGCCCTCCCCCACCCCCGAGGAGAGGGGGCGGAGGCCCGCAGCGCGCTTAAAGCCGATTCTGAGGAAGCCCTTCCTCGACCGATGCAGCAGCGGCTTGACTCCTTGGGCCCCTGAGCCCAACGAGTTTCTTCCCACTTACCAGCCCCGCCCAGCCCCTAACCAACCGGGCGACGCTTGGGCGGGCGGGCCGAGGACGCCGGGTCTCCACGTTCTGGTTAAGCCGCCACGGTCTTCCGGGAGCAGCCGGTTCGAAGCTGACCGGAGCGCTGGTGGGCAGGCGGTATCCCGCCCTGGGCCTCACTGCCCCCCCCTCCCCGCACCGGGGCGGGGCGGCGGAGCGGCTTTAGGACCCAGGCGCAGCACGGGGGTGTGTCGCCAGCTCCCTCCGCGGCCCGCCTGGGACGCGGAGTCTGGGGTGCAGAAGCACGGAGTGAGGATCCCGGGAGTGTGCGCGTGGGCGCAGCCGTCCGGCCGCCGACCTCCAGGGCCGCGACCACCAAGGGCGTGTTCTATTTCCAACCTTGCGGTGGGTGCCTGAGCCCGCGGGCGCGGCGGAGAGGCCGACCGGTCTCCGCAGGGAAGGCGTGCTAGGCAGGGACACGGAGCCACCGGGGCACTAGGGGAGAATCGCGGGTGCCACCCCTGCAAGGGCTCCGAGTGTCGTGGGCAAGAGGATCGTGGGGGCTTCCCAGCTGGGGGCAGAGTGTGGGGGTGCGTTCGGTCTCGAGGGAGCGGGTGTCCTGGTGGGGTAGACGAGCAGTGGAAGGAGACCCAGGAAGGCATCGTGGATAACGAGAGCTGGATTAATGCTCTGCGTCGCTGTCTTGAGATTCTTAAGTTTTTGAACCAATGAGGTAGCCGGGGAGGGGGGCCTGGAAGTGGGCGGGACGGAGCTGTGGGTTCCCCAACACCTCCTGCGTCGGGCTTGTCAGAGCCGGGCGCCGCTGCCTCCCACAGTCTCACTTTACGTTCTGCGCGGAAGCCTGCCCACTGGTGGTGGTCCCCGGACTCCTGGCTGCCCCCTGCCTGGCTGTGAGCAGTCACCAGCGCGGCTTGGATGACCGAGAGCCAGCGCGGGGTTTGTATGACATTTACTTGCACGTGGGGCTCCGGGGATGGAAGTAGGGTGTGTGCCGTAGCCACCCTTCCAGACCCTGGTCACCCGTGTCCTCTGTTCATTTCTGCGGCCTCGGTTGCCAGCTTTACTGCCCCTGCTCCTTCCTCCTTTCCTGATGCAGTCCGGTTCCCGCCCGCCCGCCCGCTCGTCTGCCCGCATCATGCCTCCCCCTCCCACAGACCCCTAGGGTCTCCGAGTCTAGAGGCGCTTTCCTCTCGTGCACGTGGCCCCTCTTTGTGGCTTCCTTCCTTGCACAGCGCGGCACCAACAGCCGGGACCATCCGGGGCCCGGGGTGGGGAGCGCGCACAGCTCCCCCTTCCCATCCCCCTTGAGGACCAACGGCTCCGCCTCCCAGGAGGCCGGGGACTTGGCTGTGGCTCGAATGGAAGACGGCAACGAGAGGGAAGCCGTTGCCTCTTCGTCCACCGCGCTGGGGCGGGTGAAGTTTGGGGCCGCTACACGTGCGATAGGTGTTGATGGCCATCAGTACCGACCTGAGCGTGAGAGGACGCATGTGCGGGGAGGAGGGCTGCAGCCCAGGTACTGGGCTTGGCAGCAAAAGAACAGAAAAAGAAGGTCGTCTACTACTAGAAGGAGGGTAGAGGCGACTTCTCAAGAGACCTGGCCACCAAGTCCTTCAAGCAGTCAATGCCTCACTGTCTCACGGGGTACTGTTAATTACTCGTGGAGAAAAAATGCTGAAAACATCTCTCAGCTCTCTCACCTGGGCAGCCCCTAGCAGATGGGCTAACGAATTACAGGCCTGACTTCCTCCGGCTCCTCAAGAGGGCCCTGCCTAGTACTGTTCCTTGCTCTTCGAGGTTGGCCTGGGTTGGGTCTCTGGGAAGGGTAAGAAGAAGTCAGCAGGGCCGGTGTGAGGTGGAGAGCAGATGGGCACCGAAGACTGGCCAGGGTTGGTCCTTGGAGCTGGTAACAGTTCTTTGGCTTCCCTTGCAGAAAACTCTTCCATCATGTCGCTGAATGGATCCATTGAGGATGTAGGTGAGTACACTCAGGTGTGGGTATGTGTACAGAGAGGGCTCCTTGGCCAAAAGCCTCTAGGGGAGCTAGTCCGGACACTGGTGGGTCTCCGGTGATCTTGCGGCTCTGTGGTCCCTCTCCTGTGCTATATAGACCCTCTGGTGGTGCCCTTGGTTCACGTTTACAATGCTCAGTTATCCGACCAGCCTTAGACCAGGTGTTTGGATGCCCACATCCCTCAGTCCCTGCCCAGCCCTGTGAGGGAGAGGCTGCCCTTGTCCCTCTACCGAAATGTAATTCTGCTTCTGCATTCCCTGCTAGCTCTGGCCTAACTCGCTCTTCCCCGCATCTCTGGACGGGCTCTGTGCTGTCTCTCCTGTGCCCAGACCCAGGGGCTGGCATGACCATCAGAGGGTTGTCTATGGGACAGTGCTTGGGAAGAGTAGTGATGTGCCCTTACCCAGAGTCCCTAGGGCATGGCAGCGGCATGTGGCAGGCTGCTGCCAGGGGAGTTAGGTATGTGGCTGGGCTGTAGGATAGAGGAAGGGACACAGCATCCCAGGAGCCTTGCAGGGACCTGGTAGTGCCAACTGGGCAGGACCTGGGGAGAAGGGGGCAGTGTGAGGGGCAGCACGGGGGACTAGTGGGTGCTTTGGGTACAGAGGAGAGGCTGGGAAAGGTTTGAGGCTGGAGAACCAGGTTGACAAAGCAGAGTGGGCCTGGAATTGGGCAGGAAGTTTTTCATGGACATGAGCTCCATGATTGAGCTCCATGGGCCCAATGTCATGAGCTCCATGACACCTTTTGACCTAATAGCTCTGCTCCAGGCTCTGGGTGCAGTGCAGACCCGGGGCTAGGTTTCCCTAGTCCGTAGGGGCCCTGCTAGGAGAGGCCTAGCACCTCCTGTCTAGAAAGAGCCCAGGCTGAGCACAGGATGACATGGGGGGCGGAATGGAGCCTGGGATGTGCAGAGGAAACCAGCGGGCCGGAGTGGAAGTGAGTCAGGGTGAGTCACTGCCTGGCAGGTGTAGGCATGCTGCTGACCTGTCCCTGTCCCCACACAGGTGTTGGGCATTGGTGGGGTCTGGGCCACAAGGGCCCCTTTCCTGGGATCACCCACAAGTGTGAACCCTAGGGGACCAACCCATAGTCAGAAAGAGGTGCCAGCTTGGCCTAGAGTGAAGCTGGGCCCTTGGGACTTGCCAGAGAAGCACCGTTCCATGAGTCTTGAGGAAGGCTCTCTGGCCTCCCGCTTGGAGCACTGGAGCTGGTGTGCCCGCGGTTCTGGCCAACTGGCGTGAGTTGTGCGAGATTGAGGTGGGGAGTGAGAGCGGGTCTGGGGGGCTGAGGGTGAGGACAGAGGTAGCGGGGCTGGCTCAGACCGTGTGATCCCAGAGGCTTCAGAGAGCCCCAGTGGGCTTAGGGAAGATCAGAACATTTGCACCTCACAGGGGAGCCTTCCCACGGTGGAGCGCCTGTGCTGTGTGGGCAGTCGCAGGAACCGAGAAGTAGACCCAGGGGTCCATGCTCCCACCCTGGGGGAGGGGCATGATAGGGACCGGGCTGAGGTGAGGCCTCCTTCAGCAGGTTCCATCTCCTATCAGTCCTTGGCTCCATTTCTCTGGCCCTCCTGCTTCCTGGGCCTTGTCTGATGTCTGGACTATGTTTTCCAGCCCCGATGCTTTGCTTGCAGGCCCTCCCTGGGAGAAAGCACTCCTGGGCCAGTGAGGTGGGGAGGGAGGGCTCTGGCTGGCCTGGGATCCCATCTGCGTAGCCAGGCAGGACTGGGTCCTGTAACCTGGAGTTTCTGGGAGGGCAGGGTTTAGGCAGTCCTAACTGTCATCGCACCACGTTCCTGGCTCAGAGTCTGTAGAATAAACGTATTTTTTTTCTAGCTGAAGCACATGTGTGGGTCAGAGCAGTGCAAGGCCCAGTTCCTGCAGCTGAAGAATGTTGGAGAAGGTTGTTGGGTGGGGGTTGAGGGGCCAGGGCCAGTGCGTACATGCTGTGTCTCCCTGGGCCTGAGGCTGCCTTCCTGGCCCTTGAGGGGCCTCTCTGACAACTCACTGAGAATGTACCAAGCGGGACAGCCCAGGGTCCCTGCTCCTTGGTCTTGAAATCCTTCCTGGGATGCAGCGCTGACGGCCAGGCTCTCTTGGTGGTGGTGGGATCTCCAGGCTACCTCAAGTGTGACACAGATGATGCCTTTGAAACCCGCGAGGAAAAGCTGGGGGAAGAGGCCTTCGACACAGTCAACTCCTCCATTGTGTCTGGCGAGAGCATCCGTTTTTTTGTCAACGTCAACCTCGAGGTGCAGCCCGCCCAGGCTGGTATGGTGGTTGTAGCAGGGACACATGGGGGCAGGGAGGACTGGGGACTGGGCAGGCGTGGCCCCAGTCCGCCAAGAGAGACCCGAAGAGGTGGGTGGCACCCTGAGCCCTCTCCCTTTTTTCTAGCTGACAGTGAATCGCCTGATGGCTGCGGGCTCCTCCACACCTCCCGCAAGGTGGGTGGCCCATCTGCAAACGGAACCAAGAGATCCCGGGTTCTGGGTCACTAGGTCAGAGTGGGGACAGCTGATCCCCCTCCCACAGACAGCTCATGCAGCTCCCCTCTTGCTGTACACGGGGATTTCACGCCAGCCTAAGGCGGATCTAGTGCTGTCCCTGCCGGAAGGGGCAGGCAGGGGCCTGTGAAGGAGAGGCTTAGGCAGTGGCAGTATGTCTCACTCATGGGCCATTGTGGGGTCCCCCCAGTACCTGAAATTAAAGAACTTCGAGGAAGAGATCCGAGCGCATCGGGACATAGATGGCTTCCTAGCGCAGGCCAGCATCATTCTGAACGAGCAGGCCACCTCACTCGATGACGTGCTGCGGGCCATGGTGTTGCGCGTAGCCCTTGACCCCGACAACGACGAGCCCAACTGCAACTTGGACCTGCTCATGTCCATGCTCTTCACAGATGCGGGGGCGCCCATGGCAGGTACGGGCCTGCCTCCCCCCTCTCACCTGAGCAGGTAGATCAGGGAAGTGGGCCGACTGACCCTCCTATCCCCTCCACCACCTGTCCTCAGTCCACTTGCTGTCGGATACCATCCAAGGAGTCACTGCCACAGTCACAGGGGTACAATACCAGCAGTCGTGGCTCTGCATCATGTGAGTTGCCAGGCCGCCACATGTGGCCTCCCCACCTGGTGTGTTGGAGCCAGGCACCCACATCCCCGCAGGGGCTGGCCCGCCCAGTTTAGGGGAAAGGATGTGAGCGCTCCTGACCTATTTGATCATCTTCCTTGGTCCCTAGCAGAAGTCACTGGGGGGGTTAAAACTGGGGACTCTGGGTGGTGTCCCCCCAAGTGTGGCAGCTGTGTGCTGTGTGCGCCCCCCTCCCCGCCAGCTGCACCTCCAAGTCCCTGCTGAAGCGGCACGTGTGCATCAGCCGCCTGGTCCGCCCGCAGAACTGGGGGGAGAATTCCTGTGAGGTCCGCTTTGTCATCCTGGTGCTGGCCCCACCCAAGATGGTGAGGAGAAGCCTTGGGGTGGCTTCCTTTATGGGGGGGAGGGTTCCAGGTTGCCTTGGAGGTGTCTCTTCCATGTGCTGGGGTACCCCACACGGGGCCTCTGAAGATCTCATTCCCACCCTGTCCCTTCATCTTGGACCTCCTGGGTTTCCCTGAAGCATTTTTGCTAGGTCCTCAGCAAGCCCTAACTTCCCCAGAGATTGCTGGAAAGAATTTATTTCCTTTCTGATGGAAAAGAGATACTTTTTAAATTATTATTCAAACACAGGGGCCTTTCTTTAGCCTGCCCCGACCTAAGCCTTCTTCTGGTTGGCTGACGATGATTGGCAGATGTGATTCTCCCCATGCCCCACCCCCAGAAAAGCACGAAGACTGCAACAGAGGTGGGGCGCACCTTCGCCACCATGTTCCTGGACATCACGTTCCGCCAGAAGCTCCTGAAGACCCGCACGGTGGAAGAATTCAAGGAGGCCCTGGTCCACCAGAGGCAGCTGCTCACCATGAACCAGGCTCTACCCCCCAACGTGAACAAGTACAACAGGAGCTCCATCTGCCTTCCGAGGCCCCACCCGGTACAGGGGCCAGGTGGGCCTGGGCGGGTGGCATGGGGCCTGGGCTGCAGCACTAACCGACCGGCACCCTACCGTAGCACCTGCATCCCAAAGACTTCCTCCCTGTGGGGAAGGGCATCCGAGAGGACTTCGCGCGCAGGTTCCCCGTGTACGCACTGGACTTCACTGATGGTACGTGGCCCTGTGGCTCCCCCCAAGCTTGGCCTGTAGCTCAGGCCACAGGACAACAGGTATGCCTGTCTGGCAGCCCCCGACACACTCTGTCCTGTCCCTCATTCCTAGGCATTATTGGCAAGAACAGGGCGGTGGGCAAATACATCACCACCACGCTGTTCCTCTATTTCGCCTGCCTCCTGCCCACGATCGCTTTCGGGTCCCTCAATGATGAGCACACCGATGGGGCCATCGGTGAGAGGCCAGGGGTCGGCAGAGAGGGCTGGGTGGGACCCAGGACTGGGCCACCCTCCTGACCACCCAACTCCTCAGATGTGCAGAAGACCGTGGCTGGGCAGAGCATCGGGGGCCTCTTGTACGCACTCTTCTCTGGGCAGCCGCTGGTGGTGCTGCTGACAACGGCACCCCTGGCTCTCTACATCCACGGTGCGGTGGGGCTGTGGCAGGGAGGGGGCGTGGCGGCCCCTGGCCTGAACCTGGCCCTGACTGCCCCCCCATCCTGTTGCCTGCAGTGATCCGCGGCATCTGTGATGACTACAATCTGGACTTCAATACCTTCTACGCATGGACAGGCCTGTGGAATAGTTTCTTCCTCGCTTTGTATGCCCTCTTCAACCTCAGCCTGATCATGAGTCTCTTTAAGAGGTGACAGAGCCTTCCTTGAACTGCTGGGGCCTTCAAGCAGGAGGGAGACCAACCCAGCCGGGGGTCTGGGTCAGCCTCCATGCCAGCCTTAGACGTCCTGTAACCCTAGAGGGGATGGGGTGCCCCCAAGGGGAAAGCTTGGGACTGGTCCTCTTCATGGCAGTAGGAGGTGAGGGGCCACACCAAGGATCGGGGAAGCCTCCCTCCACAACGACTCACCCCCCCATCTTATGAGGCATATCACCCCCCCCCCCCCACCCCCGCCGGCAGGTCAACAGAAGAGATCATTGCCTTGTTCATCTCCATCACATTCATGCTGGATGCTGTCAAGGGCATGGTCAAAAGTGGGTATCTGGCCTGGGCTGCCAACTGCGTCCCTCTCGTTGTACAGGGAGCTGAGTTAGTGGGGTTACAGGCCATGACTGGGGCAGTCCGGCAACACGTGGGCTAAGGTGGTCCCCGTGCTCAGGGCACTCTGGGGAGCAGCATCCTGACGTGCTGCAGGGCAGCAGGGCTGCCCCAGGCAGGATCCAGAGGCACTGGGCTAGGCCTGATGAGCGAGCAGAGACAGGGCAGAGGGACAAGGGCAAGTGATGGGAGTGCTGGGTGGATGGGCAAGTCGATGGGATCCTGGTTGATGGAGAAGACCAGCTTCCCCACAGTCTCCCAGAACCCAAATGGCTGAGGTCTATTGGCCTATATCCACAGTCTTCCAGAAGTACTACTATAGCAACAGCCCAGGGAACTACGGCGTAGAGCACAGTTCCCTGCTGGGCCTCGGCACTAGCCTCAACGCCAGCCTCAACGCCAGCTTCCACACCACCCTCAACAACAGCCTCCTGGGCAGCCCGCAGGAGCTGACCTCAATGAGCAGCCATCTCGACCAGCACCCGGGCCGGGATACTGCTGTGCTCAGCCTCCTGATCATGCTAGGCACGCTCTGGCTGAGTTACACCCTCTATCAGTTCAGGAAGAGGTGAGGAGGACCTAGAGGTGAGGGTAAGGGGACATGAGCCCCTGGACCACACTGATACACTCGCCTATGCTCCCAGCCCCTACCTGCATCCTTACATGCGGGAGATCCTGTCAGACTGTGCCCTGCCCATCTCGGTGCTCACCTTCTCCCTCATTTGCTCCTACGGCTTCCGGGAAATAAAGAGTGAGTTGTAGGTGTACTGCAATGGGGTGGGCGTGGTGAGGGCCCCCCCATAAAGCTGGCAGCTGGAGCAGGGTCTGTACCTCACTACAGTGAGCAAGTTCCGATACAACCCCAGTGAGAGCCTATTCAAGGTAGCCAAGATGCAGTCGCTGTCCCTGGGGGCCATCAGCAGTGCCATGGGCCTCGGCTTCCTGCTCTCCATGCTCTTCTTCATCGAGCAGAACCTGGTGGCTGCCTTGGCTAACGCACCAGAGAACAGGTTTGCAGGGCTGGGCGGGGAGGGCTGAGCAGGGTGCCCACCCTCCCAGGGGCCAGCAGGGGTTCTATCCACAGCCCCTGCCTGTCTGCCGCAGACTAGTGAAGGGCACGGCCTACCACTGGGACCTCCTGCTCATCGCCATCATCAACACGGGGCTGTCTCTGTTTGGGATGCCCTGGATCCACGCTGCCTACCCCCACTCCCCGCTGCACGTGCGGGCACTGGCTCAGGTGGAGGATCGTGTGGAGCACGGGCACATTTGTGAGACGTGAGTGTGAGGCAAGAATCATGTGGGCTCTTAAGGTGATGCAGCCTGGAGCCACGTGTGACCTCGGGAGGGCTGTGGCCTGAAGTGTCCTAGCCTGGGACGCACATGTGACCTGAAATGAGGTGTGACCTGGTGGCCCAGGGCCGGAGCTGATCTGGTGCTCTGGGACCACGCAGGATCGTGAGCGTGAGGGAGACGCGGCTGACCAGCCTGGGGGCCAGCATCCTGGTGGGCTTCTCCCTCCTGCTGCTGCCCTTCCCGCTGCAGTGGATCCCCAAGCCCGTGCTCTACGGCCTCTTCCTCTACATCGCCCTCACCTCCATCGACGCCAACCAGCTCTTTGAGCGCCTGGCCCTGCTGCTCAAGGACCAGGTGAGGACCTGGCCTGGAGCAGAGCTGTGGGTGGGAGGTGCCGCGGCACCAGACCTGCTCACACCTGGCCCTCCCGCCCACAGGCCTCATACCCACCCACCCATTACATCCGGAGGGTGCCCCAGAGGAAGATACACTACTTCACGGGGCTGCAGGTCCTGCAGCTGCTGCTGCTGTGTGCCTTCGGCATGAGCCCCCTGCCCTATATGAAGATGATCTTTCCCCTCATCATGATTGCCATGATCCCCATCCGGTGAGCAGGGAAGGCCTGGGATGGGTGCCCTCTGCCTCCTCCCCGTTCTGATGTTCATCTCTCTGCCTGTTCTCTACTCCCTTTCCCCACAGCTACAAGCTGCTGCCCCAAATCATTGAAGCCAAATACCTGGATGCCATGGATGCTGAGCACTGACCGCCAGGCCCTGGCACACCCTGTTTATCTGTCCCTCCGGGTCTCCTTAGCCTGGCCATGCCTTCTCGTGAGGAGGTGCGGGTGTCTTGGAGTGCTGCGCCATGCTGCGCCCGCTCCCAGCTGTCCCAACAGGCCTAGGGCATCTGTGCATTGTGGGCGGTCTATAGTGTGTGCCTGCACTGCCCACTGCCCACTGCCTTTTGCTTTGGGTGAAAACACTGCTCAGAGCAGCCTCTGCCCAGGGTGGGACTAAGCAGGATGGATTTTCTTTTGATAAAAGAGTCAGATGCCGGAGAGAGAGACCATTTCCTTGATTGTGTAAGGAACTCACTGTACGCACATTAGAGAATAAAGCTCGTTTCTATGCTTCTACACGCTCTCCGTCCCTGTAGCCTTGCCTGTCTGCAGGCCACCTGAGGGCCCTGGGGCAGAGGGACGAGGGGGTTCCTGCTTGTCGGATGCCCTCCATGTGCCATCACCTCCACTCAGCACAGTGGACACGGGCCCAGCGGGGAAATGTGGAGGACCCAGGAAGCCTTTGTGCTGCCAGAGACCAGCAGAAGGAGGTGTCTGCAAAGACCCTGAGGAGAGAGAGGGCTTGGGCCCAGTGAAGAGTGTGGCTGGTGTGGGGAAATCAGCAGGGCCGATAGCAAAGGGCCCCGACTCCAAGGCAGCTGCAGAGCAGTCTGACCTGGGACTGAAAACAGGCATGTGTAGGTCAGACTGGCAGTTTTGAACTGTCTGGTCTGTTGGGTAGATCCTAGAATTTATAGGTAGGGGGTGTGGGGTGGTGCGGGAGCTGCATCCCGCACCAGGGCAGTGCTGGGGGCATAAGGGAAGTGGAAGAAACCAGATGGTGGGGACTGGTTGGATGGAGGACAGAAGCTGCTGTTTCGCACACCCTGGCCAGCCACCAAGTGACCAAGCTGGACAGTGGCAGCAGGCAGTGTGGACCACACATCTGAGGCTCAGGGGAGTCCTCTGCCCCATCCGTACCTGGAGGCCACAGCAGTGATATGCTGCAGAGGACCTGCCTCATAGACACCCCATTACATCATCTTTTAGAACTTTGGCTGGACAAATATTTACACCACAGACCAAGGGAACAGATGAGAAGACAAGATGTATCCAAAGCCACAAAAGGACTAAGATCTACATATACAAAGAATTCTTGTAAACCAGCACAAAGACAATGCCTCTGAGAGAAAAGCAGCAAAGGCTATGAACAGAAGGGGAGGCTGAAACTAACAGGGATGACGAGAGATGCTCAGATACCCCGGAAATCTAAGAAATGCAACCCAGCAGCAAGGTGGCGCCATCAGCTTCCTAGACTCTGGCAAAAGAGGCTGGATGGACTATTGAGCAGGAGATGGGGGGCCCTCCTGCACTGATGGAAGGAGTGGAGATCAACACAAGACACCTCATGCTCTTGACTGAGCAATGCTCTCTGTGGGAGTGGGTAACTCAAATTAAAAAGGGGGCACAGTTGAGTGGCGGCCTGCGAACCAAAGGGTCGCCAGTTCAGGAGGCAACCAAACATTAATGTTTTTCTCCCTCCCCTCCCTTCTCTAAAATAAAATTTAAAACAAACCAACAACAGGTGGACAGAAAGTGTACTCTGTGCCAGGACAGAACTCTGGGGAAGAAGCTGAGTTAACAGACAGGGATGCCTTGCCCTAAGCTGCATATACCTGCCCCACCCACGTGGCATGTGAGCCGCTGGGGCTCCTTCCCCAGTAGCCTGGGTATCCTTGAGGGTGGGGTCATGTCCAGAACCACTAGGCAGGCCCCCAGCACCCCACATCATCCCAGCCAGATATCACCTGCCACCAAGGAGACCACTCTAAGGAGGCTCAGCCGCTGGCGCATTCTGGGGAAATGATCCAGCTGGGCCTCAGAGGCAGGAGTTGGGGGGGAAAGACCTGGCCTTAGCTTCATGCACAAGGGAAAGAAACAAGGGTTAAACCCACGTGCCAGGCCATGCTGCCAGGACTAAAAGAAAACGGCCTGGAGCGGCTGGGCCCTTCTCCAGAGCTGCCTGTGAGCAGAGAGGTAGGCCTGCGAGTGACCCACCAGCACTGAGTACTTCGCTGTGCCCCCTCCCCCGACCTGCTTGCACACAACAGGCTTTTCTGAAAGCCTCAGGGTGGGGCACCTCCGCCTCCCCAACACCTGCCGGAAAGGCAAGGGAACCATCCCAGGCCCCCAAAGTCTCTCCCACAGAATGGTTTCCCCAGGGCATGGTGAGGTGCTGGGGCAGCTGGGCCTCCTGAGGGGCCTGAAGGGCCCAGGTTAATATGGCATGTCAGCCCAACTGGGTCAAGGACTCATCCCTGTCCCTACCATAGAAATGAACTTGGCCTTGTAATCATAAGCCAACATTTGAGCTGCTCTAATGATAACTCCACAAAGCAAAAGCACCAAACATCCCACACAGCAACACCACGGAGACCAGTGCATCCCTCAATGGGTGGGCAGGCAGCATGGATCTGCATGAAGGCCAGCCCTTGATCTGAGACTTGAAGAATGAAAGAAAAGACACAATACGCAGACTAGCATGGGCATGCGAATGCTCTGGACACAGCTCTGTCCTCGTCCCGTCAACACCCCTGCCTACCTGAGAACTCGGCTGCTCCTGCCAGAGGGGACCCAGGAGACAGACACCTGCCTGGGGCAGGTTTCAAAGCAGTACATCCAGTTTATTTTGGTGTGTCTTCCAAAAGCTTTATTTGCCACATTTTAAACACGCTGAGACTATCTGTGTGCTCCTTGCCCAAACCTTCAATCCTGCCACGGCCAGTTTAACACCTGATCCAAGGCCTGGAGGCTCAGGAGAGACCACTGGATTCCCAACAGCAGAGAGCAGTATCCCTTGCCCAGTTCCTCTAAACAGAGCCACCTGCTCCTCCAGACTGGTAAGGCTGGTCCGGTGAGGCCGTCAAGTCTCAATACCCCCAGGAAGTAACCCTGAAGGACATACTGGGGGGGGGGGTGCCTGCCTGATGGGTCTCAGGCTAGCCCTCCCCAGATCCCTGGCAGACGTGCTCATCACTGGCCCCAGGAGAAGTCAGGCTGCCGAAGTACTCCTGCAGCTCACGCAGGGCCCGGAAGCGATGGGAGATGGCGTTCTTCTCAGCTTTGGGCATCTCTGCATACCTAAGAGGCGACGGCAGCAGCTCAGAGTAGGGAGGCCATGTGGGGGAGGGTGTACACCCCCATTCCAGAGCCTAGAGCTCTAGGAGTCCCCAGGAAAGGGTAGTGGGGTCACCAGCTCCTAGCAGCCAGTTAAGCTCTGAAAAAAATCACTTAAGTTTTAAATTCCTCTATAGGTAGAAACCCCTGTTAATGAATGTGGAAGGATATTAAACTTGCTCCAGTGTGTCCAGAAGTCATTAAGGGAAGCTGGGGACAGGGGACCAGCTGCGTGTTTGATCGGCTTTGTCATCTGTTGACAGGAAGCAGCGGGGCCTGGCAGAGCGAACACAGCAGTGTCCTCTAGTGCACTGCGGGGGTGGGGGCAGCGTGGGACAGCCGGCCAGTGGCCTGTGCTCCATGCCACAGCTCCAGTGAGGTGAGAATCCCACACCCCAACGGCAGGCTTCAGGTCCGTGCTGTCCAGTATGTGGCCGCCAGCTACATGTGGCCATTTAAATTTAAACCAATTACAACTGAATAAAAAGAATTGCAATTCCTTAGTCACCCTAGCTACGTTTTATTTTATATTGTTTTATAGGACCTTTAAAAAACTTTTTTTAAGACAAGAGAGAGAGAAACAACGAATTCTTGTTCTACGTATATATGCATTCACTGGTTGATTCTTGAATGTGCCCTGACTGGGGATTGAACCCACAATCTGGCATTGGATAATGCTCTAACCAACTGAGCTACCTGGCCAGGGCCGCCCCAACCACATTTTAGATTCCCCAGAGCCACTTGTGGCTAATTGCTACTGGACTGGACAGCACAGATGTAGAACATTTCTGCCACCAAAGAGCATTCTTGGACAGTGATCTTCTATGTTGTCCTCAGCCCTATCCGGTTTTTGTGAGGTCTCAGGCCCTGCTCCCTACGGGCCCCTCCAGCCTGGAAACCTGGCTCCAGTAAAGGCCCACACGTCCCATGGAAGTAAGAGGGGAAATGGATATAAAATACTGAGATCACTCAGCACTGGGGGAGGGGGAGGTGTGACGTGATGCCACCAAAGGCTGCAAAAGTGTTAACAGTTTTCCAAACTAAAGCAGGGGGTCAGAAGACCATCCCACAGAACTGTCAAATACATACACAAGCCGCGGACAGAGAGGGGAAGCCACTGGAGTCACAGAGCAGCTCTGCTGTGCGCTGCAGCCCCAGCCCAGGTCCCTCCCAGCCACGCCTGGCTGCCTTCCCCGCCTTGGACTGGGCCGCCCAGATTCCTTGCGTCCACCCCAGCAGAGATGCCTTCAGCTGGAACGGCACCCTCAGAGCCTGCTCCATCCACATCCGCGTGCCTGCACACTTGGGTGGGGCGCCGTCGCGGTGCAGATCCCCAACAAGAACCCGGGCTCCTTACGTTTGCTCGTATCCATCAGGCTGAAAGCAGGGGTCCCAGCCGAAGTCCCGGCAGCCTCGGGGTACCACAATCCGGCCCTGCCAGAGGAAAGGGGGCCAGGCACGTCACTGGACATGGAGAAGATGCACTAGGAAGACAGCAGTACCCAGTCTGAGTTTAGTTTATGGATTTGGTTAAATCCTATTTACTAAAAACAAATGGTTTGAAAGGGTCCATGATACCGGCAAATGTTTGCTAAACACATAAATAAAATGCACAGTGGGACAGCTCTCCCCTCACATCCAGGGAGGAACCATGTACTCGATCTCCCCGGGGCCGCCCTCCCTCTCAGCAGCTTTGACAAACTGTGACCTACTGAAGACAATCAACTGCAACAGAAAACGTTTTCTCCTACATGTGAAGTTAAGGGCCCTGAACTGTGCAGACAGGCCCCATGCCTCCTCCTGTTACTGCATTTCTCAAAATGCAAGGGAGGCTCTAACAATTAGATGAAAATATCACAGAAAGTACTTAGCACAATGTTTAACATATAAATGAGCCCAATAAATACTGGCTGCGATAGGTAAGAAAGCAATAAAAGAAAAAGCTAATCTAAAAAAGATAAGAGGGAGTAGAGGACAGAGATTAGACACATAAGTGTCCAGGCATTCGGCCCAAAGGCAAATTCTGCTTCTGCCAGCTGGGAGCTGTGTGCCCGAGGCCGGTCCCTGAACTTCTCTGAACCACACCCAAGTAACACCTGCTTTCTAAACATCTGCAGTGAAGCAGGTAGTTTTATCAGCACTGGGGTTCCAGGAGGCCCTGCCTTGCTCTAACAAAATGACCTTAAGCAAAGTAGACATCAAACCAGTAATCAAATGACCAAAGGCAAAATGTCTTCTAGGGAACAAAGAGGGAACTGGACTCAAGAGTAGGATGGAATGACCTGGAAGGCCTCAGGGGTGCCGAGGCCCTGAAACAGGGAAGGGCTTGGCACATCTGCTGCTGAAAGGACAATGCATTTGGGTTCAGGGGGCTCGGGTGAGAACAGAACGTGGAGAAACGGGGCCACCTCAGGTAAAGTGGGGGCTGGGGAGCAACAAGGTGCACGAAGTAGCCAAAGCCAGGGAGACAAGAGGGAACGGTGGGGACTACAGGGCCTGGACCCTATCAGCCAGGCTCATGGTTGTTCAAACCTCTGACTTTTGAGAGAACATTTCTGTATTCATAGCATTATTCAAAACAGCAAAAATGTGGAAGCAATAAAAGTCCATTGATTGATAATGGATAAAGAAAATGTGGCACATATGTACAATGGAATGCTATTCAGTCTTAAAAACAAATGAAGCCCTGGCCGGGTGGCTCAGTTGGTCAGAATGTTGTCCTGATATGACGAGGTTGGGGGTTTGATGTCTAGTGAGGGCACATATAAGACTCAACCAATGAAGACATAAATAAGTGGAACAAAATTGATGTTTCTCTCTCTCCGGCTCTCCCTCCCCCTCTAAAATCAATTTTTAGAAATTTCCAGCCAAGATGGAGATGTAAGTAGATATACTTAGCCTTCTCTCACAACCAAAAAAAGGACAACAAGAAATTTAAAGACAAAAAACAACCAGAACTGCCAGGAAATAGAACTGTATGGAAGTCCAACCACCAAGGAGTTAAAGAAGAAACATTCATTTGGACCAGGAGGGGCAGAGACGGGCAGCCAGGGCGGAGAGGGTGAGTGGCAAGGCGGCAGCTGGCAGACCAGGTAATCCCACATTTGCATGTAGATAAACCAGGAAGAACCACCAGGGAGTGAGACAGACCGTGCAACCCAGGGTTCCAGAGTAGGGAAATAAAGCCTCAAAACCTCTGGCTGTAAAAACTTGTGTGAATAGCAGGAGAAACTCCCAGCCTCACAAGAGAGTTCTTTGGAAAGACCTACAGAGTCCTAGAATGTACATAAACCCACCCACCTGGGAATCAGTACCAGAGGGGCCCAATTTGCTTGTGGGAAGAGGGGGAAGTGACTGAAAGCCAGCAAAATCAAGCAAGCAGCATTGTTCCCTCTTGGACCGTCCCCCACACAGAGCACCAGAATACCGTGTTATGGGTTGCCCCACCCTGGCAAATACCTAAGGCTCTGCCCCTTACAACGTAACAGGTGCACGGAGACAAAAAAAATAGATGGCCCAAATGAAAGAACAGATCAAAAATCTAAAAATAGAACTAGGTGATGAAGAGATGGAGACAACCTATCAGATACACAGTTCAAAACACTGGTAATCAGGATGCTCACAGAAATGGTTGAATATGGTTGCAAAATAGAGGAAAAAGTGAAGGCTGTGCAAAGTGAAATAAAGGAAAATGTACAGGGAACCAACAGTGATGGGAAGGAAACTGGGACTCAAATCAACGATTTGGACCAGAAGGAAGAAATTAATATTCAGCAGGCACAGAACAAAGAAACAAGAATTCAAAAATATGAGGAAAGGCTGAGGAGCCTCCAGGACAACTTTAAACATTTCAACATTTGAATCATAGAGGTGCCAGAAGAGGAGGAAGATCAAGAACTTGAAAATTTATTTGAACAAATAATGAAGAAGAAATTCCCCAATCTGGCCAAGGAAATAGACTTCTAGGACGCCCAGGGAATCCCAAAGAAGTTGGACCCAAGGAGGAACACACCAAGGTACATCATAATTGCATTAGCCAAGATTAAGGATAACGAGGGAATCTTAAAAGCATTGAGAGAAAAGGAGACAGTTTCCTACAAAGTAATTCCCATAAGACTATCAGATGATTTCTCAAAAGAAACCTTGAAGGCAAGAAGGGGCTAGAAAAAAGTACTCCAAGTCATGAAAGGCAAGGACCTATATCCAAGATTGCCCTATCCAGCAAAGCTTTCATTTAGAATGGAAGAGCAGATAAAGTATTTCCCAGGTAAGGTCAAGTTAAAGAGGCTCATCATCACCAAGCCCTTATTAAAACATTAAAAAGACTTATCTAAGAAAAAGAAGATTATCAAAAATATGAACAGTAAAATGACAACAAACTCACAACTATCAACAACTGAACCTATAAAACAAAAACAAACTAAAAACAACTAGAACAGGAACAGAATCACAGAAATGGAGATCACATGGAGGATTACCAGTGGGGAGGGGTTGGGGGAGAATGGGGAAAAGGTACAGGGAATTAAAAGCATAAATGGTAGGCAAAAAAGACAGGGGAAGGTTAAGAATGGTATGGGAAACGGAGAAGCCAAAGGATTTATATGTATGACCCATAGACATGAATTGGGGGGGGGGGGGGATGTTGGTGGGAGTGGGGGAGTGTAGGGCACAGGGCAATAAATGGGAGAAAAAAATGAGACGACTTTAATAGCATAATCAATAAAATATATTTTAAAATTCAGTTTTAAAAAGTCCTAGAAATATGTTGTACAATAGTATGCATATAGTTAATTAACACTACTGTACTGTACACTGAAAAATGGCAATAGACAGTCTTATGTGTTTTTAACACAAACGTTAAAAACCACCGAGTGCAGACAGGAGGTCTCTGTGGTCGGCCCCTCGTGGAGTCCCTGGGATACGGCTTCGTGGGACACAGTGGGACTCTGGATTTTATCCTGAGCAGAAGGGACAAAGCAGGAGTGAAATGCCAAAAGGTGCACTCTTGTCATCGGCCACAAGGACGGACTACCAGGACTAGGGGGTGGGGGACACAGTTCAGAGAGCGATGTGGACTCTGTGAGAAGCAGGTGAACCTCACGGGTAAGCAGGAGGCATTGAAGGGCAGTTGGGAAAGGAATGAGTTGGGAGGAAGGTTCTATATAAACATGAAAAGTTGGAAAAGCTCTGAGATTTTCAAGGGAAGCTGTAGCCTCAGGAGTTGGGTGAGGAGACTGGAACCTGCAGAAGTCTAGGCTGCAGATGTAGCTCTGGGAGTCGGCCTCCTTCAGTTTCCACCTCCGCTTCTCAGGAGGACATACAGTGCAGAGCTCTGGGTGCACGAGCCTTATGTGTCTCCCTCACAGGGGATCCTCAGGAAGCACACGGATTTCAGGATTGACAGCACTTCTATTTCTCTTGCCCATGGCCAGTTCTGGGCAAAAGCATGGGAACTCACTTGGGCCGGGACACCATCCTCTCTACCTCCCTGCAGAAGACTCTGGGCCTGTCAGCTGGAGTCGCAGCGCCCCCTAGCGGCATGTGGTGGACCAGCATGGGTACGCACCGAGGTCCGGCCCCTGAACAGGCGCACAGGCTCACTTGCATCCCCACTGCTGAACGCGAAGGTGCAGAGTGCATACGCTGACTTGTCCTCGAATCCAGCCAGGAGTTGGTGGAGACCTGTGGGCAGGTACAGTGAGGGCTCAGTGTAATCTGTGCCGCCCAGCCCCAACTCCCCACCTGAGGCCCTGAATTAGGGGGCATGTGCCAAACCGGGGGGCTTATGTTACCAGATAAGCTTTGTGCTGATAAACCTGGAAGTTGGGTCATGAGGACATGGGGCTCATTATTCTGTTCTACTATTGTATATGTTTAAATGGTCATTAATATAAAGTGTTTCTAGAAGCACCTAAAAAGGGAACTTTTCGGCCTGCACCTTTGCATGACAGGACAGGCACTGCTGGGGCCCAGGAGGGGAAGACCCGCACCCCCAGGCCAGGCCTGGGCTGAGGCAAGGACCGGCAAGCAGTCAGTAGGCCAGGCCTCTCAGCCAAAATCAACGGCAGCCCCTCTGTCCCTCAGATTCACAGCTCCCACCACCGCTTTCCCATCCACTCCTCCCACACCTCAGTGCTCCCTGGAGCTAGGTGTGCATGCACAGTGTGAGCTTCAGGTTATGGATGGGAAACTGAGGTGAACAGAGGCCCAGTGGTGGGGCTGGAACCTGAGATTTCTAACCACTATTTGGGGCCCTCCCCTGGACCACTGCCAGACTCTCAGTTCCCAACAGATCTAAAGGGAGAAATAAAAAGGACGATACCTTCAGGCTTTAACTTCTCCAGAAACCACTTTCTGCAAGACAAATAAAGGCAAGTCAGACACCAGAAGACAGATCTTCTGACCATCTTCTAATCCGGTGCGCACCCTCACCCCAGGACAGCCAAGGGGCTGACATGATAAAGAATGTCTCACCTCAAAATGAGGACAAATCCTCCAACAGGAAAAAGAAAATGGGGGCAAAGAGGCAATGCGTAGAAGAATCAACAATTCAGTGAAAGCCTTAAGCTGATTGGTAATTAGGGAAATGTAAATTAAAACCTCACGTGACAGCACTTCACGCTGCCCACACTGCAGATATAGAGCAACGCATCCTGTAAGTGTATATGGGTGCTGCCACCTTGGCAAACGTATTAGCAACCTACATGTTAAAGATATACGCATCCCAGACCCAGGAACAGTACTGCTAAGCATTTGCTCTCCACCCCGGAGACAGGTATTCAAATTGGGATATTTGTATCCTAGAGATACACAAAGACCTTCTGGAGGGGTTCAGGGCACTGAATATTTTAAGAAAATCCATTTTCAGATCTTGACTTCCTTATTTTCTCTTCCCTGAAACTGATCTGCCCATGAATGTACCTCTTCAACAGGTGGGTTTCCCTTGCACATCTCCGCTTACACAATAACATTCTCACACTTTACAAAAGAAACACATGCCTTTTTTCCATCCCTAATCCTTCCTCAGGACAATCTGAAATATTGGCATTGATGCCAAGACAGTGAATGAACCACAATATCAGGTAACCAATCATTTCCAAGTTCATTTGGTTTTGTAGGCAGGACTCTGCAAGGGGGTGGGGGAGCACTCACATGTAGGGGCCGGGGAGGCCCCCAAGGGCATTGAAGCACAGACAGGTGTCCTCTACCAGCACAGGCCCCTGCACCTGCAGCACAAGGAAATGCAACCCTGAGACCTACCACCAGCAGCAGGCCCTGCCGCAGCCCTGAATTTCCAGGCCACCCAAGCTGGGGCAGGCCCACATCTAGTTGGGACCTGCCACTGTTGCAGCAGCAGCAGTCATAGCAGCCGAAGACAAGGGTCCAACTACTACTGGGATTGGCCTGAGGCTTATCTCTTACATACCTTTTAGACTTGAGAACACCAAAGCCATGGCAGGTTGTAAAGACTGCTCTAGGCACATCAACAGAAAAGATGGGATTCATACTCAGGTAGCCTGACCCATCGGAAAGTGCTCTTTCTCAGTTCCACAGAGATAAGTGAGTGCAGGGGTGCGTGTGCAAAGGGAGAATGTAGGGACTGAAATGTATGTATCCAAGAATTAGGGAGAGAGAATCATGTACGTGGTGGCCTGGGGAGATACTATGCAGTCATGCTTGAGAAAGGCAGTATTCTAGGGCCAACATGAACTGATCCCAGAACAGCTAGGTCCTTAAAGTCCTAACGAACTGTGCCTGTCCTATTGTTCTCCACTTATGCGCAATAGGCACAGGCTCCGGGAGCCCCCAGGACAGGAAAAGTGGGCAGAAAACACATGCAGAGCAAGCACCTGGCGAGCTGCCTCCCGACACTTCTGTATGGAAATCTCATCAGGCTCTCCCTGGTACTCTGGCACTTTGGAGGAAAAAGACACACAGAGAGTCAGGTCACCAGTAGAGAGAGAAGTCAACCCGTCTTTTAAAAATAAAACAAAACACACCCTGGCTGGTGTTGCTCAGTGGATTGAGACTCGAACTGCAAAGTAAAGGGTCACTGGTTCGATTCCCAGTCAGGGCACATGCCTGGGTTGCAGGCCAGGTCCCCAGCGAGAGGCTCATGAGAGGCAACCACACACTGATGTTTCTCTCCCTCTCTCCCTCCCTCCCTTCCCCTCTCTCTAATAACAAAGAAATAAAATCTAAAAAAATAAAAACAAATAAAATAAAAGAGACATACAGTCAATTTTCTGTGCCACCAAAGTACACGGGAACTTGTCTCCTAGAATCTGAATGACCTGTTCCAAAATGAAAGAACATTGAACACCACTTGTTAACAATTTCCCATCATTACACAAGCTGCCATCCACCATTCTCATAAGGCAATTCTCCTGCCAGGCCCCTAGAGCTTACCAAGTCAAGCCCCTGACCTCACCCCAGCCTTCAGGGTCCACCCCAGCAGGTCATCTCCCTCATCACCACAGTCTTCAACTTCAGGTCTCTGTTCGTGCTCACCACCTACCTACACAGAACACCCTCTTTCCTTCTCAATGCTCCCCTCTATTCCTAGGCCAGGAATTCTCTATAGGGCATTACCCAGAATTGAGGAGACCTGAGAACTTGGATGGGGAAAAAAATACCTATTTTTAAAAAAGATTTTATTACTTTATTTTTAGACAGAGGGGAAGGGAGGGAGAAAGAGAGGGGGAGAAACATTAATGTGTGGTTGCCTCTCACGGGGGCATGTGCCCTGACTGGGAATCGAACTGGTAGCCCTTTGGTTTGCAGGCCTGCACTCAATCCACTGAGCCACACTAGCCTGGACAAAAAAAATCTATTTTTAAAAATTAATTAATTTTTATTGTATTTATTGAAGTGGCATTGGTTTAAAAATACCTCTTTATTTTCAGTAATTCCTAGCTGAAATTTAGCACCTCTTTCAATTGTGAATATAGAAAACCAAAGTAGCATTAGTAGTTCTGGTGACCTTTAACCCTATCAAAATCACAGATGTCCCCATATCCCCTTACAGTTATAGCAGATATCTCAAAATATCATTTACAATTACCATTATTTTCAAATTATGGTAATTACACACACTGCTAGATTGAATCCTTTAAGTGTCAATGTAACTAATCACAAATATTTGTGGTATTTGGAGAATTGTACTTCAATAGATTTCCTTTGTAATTCTATGTATTTTACTCTGTATAGTTAAAAATATTTTCCTGAGAAAGGGTCCAAAAGTTCATCTGTCTGCCGGTGGGGTGCCATGGCATAATGAGGAATTAAGACTCCCTGTTTTACTAGTCCTGGCCAGGCAGCCCAGCTGGTTAGAGCATCAACCCAATAAGCCAAGATTGTGGGTTCGATCTCTGGTCAGGACACATACAAGAAGCAACCGATGAATGCATAAATAAGTGGAACAACAAATCAATGTTTCTCTCTTCCTCTCTGTCTCCGAAATCAATAAATTTAAAAAAATAAAAATAAAACAAAAAGGGAGCACTTTAAGTATTAAAAAAAAGACTCCTTGTTTCAGGCCAGCTTCAACTCCATCTTTCCAACGACCAATGGCCCCCACACAAGATCCCACTTGCGCGGCCATAGCTGACTGAGCAGGGAGGGGCAAACCCTTGACCTAAAGAAGGCCAATCAGAGCTGGTGTATGGAAGAAGCCTCACTGCCCCTCCATTAGGACAAGAGGAAGCAAAAAGACCCAAATAGGAAAAAGGATGATCATCCAGCGAGAACTACAATGACAGAGCAGCCCCTCAAGAGACACCTGTTAAGGGACACCATAACATTGTACTTTCACAAAAGTCCGGTGGTTTATATGAGCTCCCTAATGTCTATTATTTGCAGCCAGGACGTTTCATCAGCCCTTAGAATCCTCAAGGCTAGCCACAAAGTAGCCAGGAGTTTTGGATCCAATGCTTCCTTCACTCGTCTCATCATCCCCATTTCACGGATGATGAAAGAGGCTGGAAGAGGCTGAGACCCATATTTCTAGACCATGGTGAGACATACACAGACGGCTCAGTTTGGATGTCTGTTTTATGCTCTGTCCGGCCCCTGCCACCCCCGAGCCAGCAGCGGGGTCTGCATCTGCTCCAAACTGGTATCGAGATCCCGGTCTGAGGTCTAGCTCAATAAGTGACCTTTGGGACACGTGCTAAGGATCCCGCCATTCCTTCGGCTCCCACAACCTCTCTTTATTCCCCCACCACCCGACTCCGCGAGGTCCAACCCCTTCCACACCTAGGTCAGACCTATTCCTGCAGGTCTGGCTCTCCACTCCCCCTCCAATCTCCTTCTGCGTGCTTCCTCCTCCTGGAAGCTCCTTCTCCGCCCTATCCCCAGCCGACCTGACCACACGCTACCCACCCAGCCGCCTCCCGACCGGCCTCCCACACCCTATTGGCACCTCCTCCAGTTTCTTGGCGTTCCCTGTGACAAACACTATCTTCTTCCCGGCCAAGGATGCCGCCATCCTGAGTTTCGGATACCTGGCAGTCCCACCGGAAGCCCCTCTACCTCGGGTTGAGCGCACTTCCGGCTGGCGGCGGAAGGGGCGGCTGAACGTCCGGCCACTGGTCCCGGTGAAGAAGGGCTTTGGGTCCCATTACGCACAACTGGCGGCGGCGACTGCCTGACCGAATTCGCAGGGGTAGGCCGCGGTGGGCACCCGCAGTCCTTGGTCAGGCACCCGGCGAGTAGAGTACTGTTTTTCTGGGGAGCAGCCTGGGGCGCCGGGCACTAGAATAGAAGAAAGTGGCGCGGGCCCCCTGAGCCCGAATGCAACTGACTTCCTGGGTGCAGGTTGAGTGCTCGGAGACCAGTCTCTCCCACGGAGGGACGCTGTTTTCTTGGACCAGAAGAGACCTCCAGCCACCCGTCCCACCACGCTTTCACCCCTCTGCTACTGGGTTACCGAGGGAAGCAGGACAACCCCTCGTCCCTCCCCCGAGGCCGTTGATGAGCGACACCTCCAAGACTGTCTCTGAAAATGTTCTCTTTTTGGGCCAGGGCTGCCAGTCGGGGTCTTTATCCTGACCTCACCTTCAGCCCCGGTCTTTTAGTTCCTCCTTGCCTGACAGCTCTGAATTACTTGACTGCGAACTTAAACTTGGCATAGTCTAGCAGGAGTGTCCAACCTTTTGGTGTCTCTGGGCCACACTGGCAGAAGAGTTGTCTTGGACCACACATTAAATACATTGTGAGATGTAATCACACACACAGAAATCTCATGTTTTATGTAAATTCGCGATTTTGTGTTGGGCCGCACTCAGCCATCCTGGGCTGCATGCAGCCCCCTGGGGCTACAAGTTGGACACCCCTGGTCTAAAGCAAGATTTTTTTTCACCCATCCCCCAGGCTTGGGACTTAAGTATTTTGATTCCCTTGTCCCTCCAGCCTCCCAAATTCATCATTCCATCTCCATACCCACTCTCAGTAAGATCTTTGCCTCCCGAATACAGCAAAGAACAATGTGCCCCAGCAGACCTACCTGGGTGACAGGGCTTGAACCACTGCTGACACACCATTGGGCAAGTCACTTGTCTCCCTTCTGCAGCGACTCATTATAACTAGGGCAGATTCAGGGCCAGCTCTACTGGTGAAGCAACTTCTGACAGGAGTATGGGTACTCTGGAGGTCTAGCAGTACCTGGAAGAATCTGCCTAATGCTAATGACCTCTGATAATCTCTACTTTTTTTTGTTAAGACCCCAGAATTCATCCTTGGGGACTATTTAAAATTTCATGCTGGGGGGTGGAATGGGAGAAATAGATTAAAAAATGTACTTGAAAAATAACTAAATAAAATTTATATAAATAAAATAAAATTTCATGCTCTCTAGAAACATTGCTCAATGACTGTAGTGTTAGTATTGTACAGGCTAAAAGGCATTACTATGTTCTGGGGCGGGTCCTAAAGTTCCTGGGTCAGTACCCTTTCCACACTGTGCTTTGTGAAGCTCCGTGGAGCTGATTTTGGAAGTAGTGCGTCAGAATCAAGGAGTGGGTATCCCTCTCTCTGTGTCATCTATTTTTCTTCTTCATGAAATCATAGAGAACCCTCAGGGAGGTGGAGGGGCAGAGGGGGTTTCCCTGATCAAAGCTGACCTCCTGGCTGTCGAAAGCTTCAGCTACACTCTTATGCTAGGAGGAGCTTGCCAGGGACTGGATACAGGCATCTATCTGGTATACCACAGACAAGTAGTACCATGTGCTATGGTCAGTACAACAACCCTGGGAGTACTGGGTGCTGAGAGAACCACCTAGGTTAGGGTGGCTGATCAGTCACAGCTAGCTGTGGGAGCTCACAAAGGGTTAATAAGCTGGGAGTACTGTGAATGGATATTCAGTATCAATAAATAGACCTCACTCTAAATATGAAGGCTTTGGAGCCCAACAGCTCAAGGGGAAAACAAGTTTGTGTATGTGTGATCTTTAGTCAGGAGTCTTGGTTGCAAGTGTCAGAAAACCCTTTTAGGCAACAAAACCAAAAAAGAAATGCACTGATTAGTTCACCTAATTGTTGAGTCAACCTATAGACAATCCAGTTCTTAGTTGCCCTAAACAGAAAGAAAGGAGACTGAATCATTTATTCATTCATTCAATTAAACTATGCTAGAATTAAAAGGTGTGAGTTTTTACCTCCTTTAGTAAGCAATAGGACTGGAAATCTCATTAGAATCACACTTTCCTCAACTGGGGAAACCAGTCAGTCAAGCAAAGAAAGATGATCCTTGCCCTCAAAAGGCCTTGTCAAGTCCTATCAGTTCTACCTCTGAAAAAGTTCTCAAATCATTTCCCATTTCCCAACCCCGACTGCTACCGCCATAAGTCCAGTGCTGTTCTGTTTCCTGGAAGATGGCTCTCCCTGCTGTTTCCCAACCCCTCCCGTCTGCCCATGAACCTTAATCAACATGCTTGGGGTCCAGGACTCTGAGAACCTGAGAACTACAAATGAAAGGCAAAAAAGTGGTATCTGTTTGAAGCAACAGGAAGAATGATCTCTATTGACAGTTTGTTTTGCTCTTCCAGGCAACATTCTGAGCTCATGCAAATTATGAAAATATTAAAGTTAAATTTTTTTAATGTATTGATTTTAGAGAGAAACATTGATTTATCGTTCCACTTTATGTATGCATTCATTGTACACTGACTGAGGATCAAACCTGCAACCTTGGCTTATTGGGATTACTCTCTACCCAACTGAGATACTTGGCTAGGGCTACTTCACTTTTTTTTTCTTTGTTGATTGTAGCAAAAGAGAAAGGGGAGGGGAGAGAGAGAGAGAGACGTCAATCAGTCACCTCCTGCACATGTCCCAACCAGAGCAGGTCCCTAGTTGATTGAACCCACAACCCAGACACATGCTCCAAATGGGAATCGAACCCACAACCTTTTGGTGTATAGGACGATGCTCCCACCAACTGAGCTACCCAACCAGGGCTAACTAGTACTTAAAAACTTTTTATTATGGAAAATTTCATACTTATACAAAAATGACAAACTTACAAGAAAAAATAGTAGTATAATAAGCTCCCATAACCTAATTTTAACAATTATCAACATTAGCTATTTTAATGAAATCTATCCTACCCATTTTGCTTGTTTAACATTTAAAATGTAAATTATGAAGTATTCCAAACTTACAGAAAACAATAAAATAGATGTTCAAGTTCCCACCATTCCAATTTAACAACGTGGTATTGTTTAGCGGCTTTATTTTATTTTTTAGATTTTTTAAAATTTGTTTTTTAGAGAGGGGAAGGGAGGGAGAGAGGGAGAGAAACATCAATGTGTGCTTGCCTACTGGGGACATGGCCTGCAACTCAGGCATGTGCCTCAACTGGGAATGGAACCAGCAACCCTTTGGTTTGCAGGTCGGTGCTCCATCCAGAGTCACACCAGCCAGGGCTGTTTAGTGGTTTTAAAACATACATATATGTTGTCACACTGCACATAAGCATTTGTAACAATTCCTGCTTAATAGATATTAACATGTCATATTTTTTCAAATCTCCCCCCACCCCCACCATTCACACCATTGTTCCTGGACTCTTCATATTATCACAAACACAAAAGGTTTCATAATACTCTAATAGCAAATTCCCAGTAGTTACTTGCTTTTTAAAAAAACTCAAGTTTACATTCTGTCCCAGTTTTTTGTTTGTTCGTTTTAGAATAAACACCTTCATTATATGTGCTAAGACAAGAGGGATGAGGATTTATTTGCATTTTGGGTCTTGGTTTTCCTCAGCTAGAGCTCCAGCTCCTTGCCCTCCAGCACACAGCCATCTGCTTGGCCACATTGGCCTGGTCTTCAAGCGATGCACGCAAGAAACTGCCCTGCTGGAACTGCTCCTCTAGGAGACTGCTGATTTTGGCATTCTTTCCCTTTCATCATATTTCTTCTGAGTTTTCTTTGATCTTTCTTTGTTGAAAATCCCTTCCTCCTGAGGAGTCAGCTTGGCTCCCTTCTCAAGGCCCAGGGCAGTGCCTAGTGGGACTCGTACCACTATCGGTATGGTGTGCTGTCAATGAGCGTGATGCAGTTCTTTGAGTCTTGTTAGGGACAAGCTTGTCGTTGGATGCATGTAAGCAACATCCATAATACTTGTTTTGTGCACACCACACTCCAAGCCCCAGGAGAAGCTGCCCACGTGCAGCCTCAAGGCTCAGTAGTTCTTCTAGCCTCCCTGCACGTGGGCTGTGTGTATGCAGTCAAGGCCAATCTTAGTGAGGACAGCAGGACACTCCAGCACATATTTTTGCTTCTTGTGGGTAGGGCTTTCTCTTGCCCCTGGTCTTATGGCACTTGTGCCATTTGTTCTGGGAGATGCCCATGGCTTGGTGCCAGCTGGAAAGAGCTTATGTGCAGCTTCTTTGAAAACAACTTTATTGAAGTATAACTTGTCCCTAACTTTCTGTATAGATTCTTAAGAAATTAAAGGGGAATTTAAATTCTCTGTGGGTAATTTCCAAGAGCTCACTATGGGAAACTGGATCACTAATTTTTGTACAACCTAATAAAGCTAATTTTACTTTAAAATACGTATAAAATTGGCAGGTCTGAGTACAAAAAATATATCACTCTTTAAATGGAAGATTTGGTCTCTTCCCCTCACTCTTTTAACAAAATCAAGTCACAGATACAAACGTACCTCTGCTCTTAACCTCATCCATCGTCTTCTCTCCCCAGAGGTAATCGTTATCTTGAAGTTATTCCCAAGTATCTTTTTGTACTTTTTCCATATAGTGTATAGATTTCCACAAACACTATATGGTATTGTTTAGTGCCTTAAGGACGTATATTAATAATGTCACACTGCATATAACCGTTTGTAATAATTTCTACTTAAAGTATTTTTTATGCCAAAATTTATTTTAAAATAAAAAAAATTAAGGTCTCTGTGAAACCTGCGGCCTGGGCGGGGCCTGGAGTGGTGGGCGGGGTCTAGAGTGGGAAACGGGAGGGCCGTAGGGGCGTTGGGCGGGGCCTGGGAGATTTCCCGACTTGAGGGTGGATTCGCTG